ATCCAAAGACTTTTTGTGATCAGAGACATATAGAACGCATCTCTCCCTACCTCCCTTGTGAACAAGTAGGATTTTGAAGCCAAACTAATGAAATGTTTATTTGGAAGATGATGTTTCATTTGCGGATTATCCATGCCTTTTCCAAATTTCTCCAGCCACCTAACCTTTAACTCATTTAGCACTTTCACCCAAGGTGGTCAAGAGAAATAAAAATCTTGCTTCTTTTCAGTAGCTGTGGTTTGGTTAACGGAGCAGGCTGAAATTACTGGCTTTTAAAATGAGGTTTGGGAATCACCCATGGATTTCAATTACCTACCCCGCACTTTTCCTGTTCCCAGAAAACACAGATAATCAAGGCTGACTCTGTCACACAGGAGCCCTCCGAAGCAGCACGCATGGCCTTTCTTGTTTCTTCCCTATTTCAAGCAGGCTCTAGGGCATCAGGAGTGAGTGCCTGGTGTGGGGGTTCACTTGTTTGTTTGTGGTAATTTGTGATATGGGTGGGAAGGTGCTTCGATAATGGGGAACTGAGATATTGGTACCCAAAAGCAAAAGATTCTGAAATACCACTTCATTCCTTACTTTCAGACCAACTAGATCTGAACACAGGGCTAGTAATTGCCAGACCTGACAATATTTCATGGAAATGAGATTGTTCTTCTCTCACCTCCCTGTAAACCAGACATGCTAGAAAGACTAGCCCTTCTCCTACTAGAAAACAGGGTGCTGCAGACCATACACATGGAAAATCCAGTGAGAAGGGATCATTAGTTTCTAGCATGATAAAGACTTACTGAGGCATCAGCCCCTCAAATAATCTGCCATAACTATTAACTGCTAAAAATAAAGTAACTGAAATCATCCCTAATTTTGAATTTTACAAATTGATGATAATTGAGACAATGTGGTAAATTTCAATATTTCCCTCATTAACTGTTACTATTTAACAAAAAAGAATTTGGGGAAATTGATACAAAATTTAAATCATTCACATATTCATATACCATCTCCTCTGAGGTCTGCATATCACCTTCCACCTCTGACTTCACACAGCATTATCTTTTTTGGAATTCTCCAATGCATTTATCATGTAAAATATTTTATGTTGTACTTGTTTTAGGAGTTTCCTAAGTGGAGGGGCCTACCTTTCCAGGGCATAATTCACATAGTAAGCACTTAATATTTTGGTATCATTCCCCCCTCCCCACCCCAAACAAGAGTGTAAAATCAGGCAGGATTCTCAACCAAAGAATATGTCAGAAGGGACAATGAAATCATCTTGTCCAACCCATCATCATACAGAAAAGAAAACTTACTCCCCAAGAGGTAAAATGACCTTTCCAGAATTACACAGATAATCTAGGGGGGAGAACAAATATTAAAGACCAGGGGTAATCGGAATCCCAAATAAGGGTTGCTCTTTCCACTCTCCCAGGATTCCTCTCAAATCACAGATTTTGAGAAGGAAAATCATAATATCAGAAACCAAAGTGCAGAAAATTGCTTTTTTGTTTGTTTTTCCCATCACAAAGAGCTAAATGACTATAGAATCTGGATTTAAAAATTCATAATGGTGGTGTCCCAATACAAGCTAATGTGACCAAAAGGCAGCACTGGAACTCGAGATTATATCTCCAGAAAACAACTGTTGTCTTGGGATGGATGAACTTCCTGACTGTTCTCAGGACAGATGGTCACTTTTAATTTAGAAAGGGGTGACATTCAATGCCAGAAAAAGCACCATGTCCCTTCTTCATCTTTAGCTCAACCTAGCCCCTCCTCCCCCCCCAAAAACCCCCAAAACTTTGCCTCAGAGCTTGACCAAGACTCAAATGCCCTGTAACTGTAGGCAGAGCCACATCTGGATTTCCAGGTGACAAGCCAGGTTTATAAAACTTTCGGCTCCTCTAACAATTTTCCAGGCTTATTATTTGGAGGCCAGCACTCTGATGCTTGCAAGTACCAAGAGTGTCCCAGCACCAGTGTACAAATGTGTTCTCAAACTTTAGCACAAACTTGTAAGTGGACAAGAAAAATCCTTTACTGTGTAAGGCCATGGGACAGCAACCACCAAACACTAAAACTGCCAAGGTAGGTGGGAGATATAGTTCAGGTGGAAAACAGTAAATAGAGGCTAGCAGAGATCCCTCTCTGCCTGCTTCTAAGGGAAGTAGTGGTCATCTTAAAGGATTTTTCTCATGACGTAGGACAAGTAAAAGAGTCCCAAAAAAGCTGAACAATAAAATTTTTCTCCTATTCTCATTAAAAATGTTAAGTTTGGGATAGGATTTATGACTGGAAAGACCTTACTTAGATCTTTTACCTAGAGTAATTTTATCAAAAATTCAATTTACATTATCCAGTAGTAATTTGTAATTTTATTTTTTGGGGGGAAGGTGTGTGTGACTATGGTTAAACCCTAAAACCTGAAAAAGTCTATGGGCTCCTAGATCCAAAGTGAATTTGTCACTGGACCAAGAGCCCTGGCATTGGGCCAAGGTTCAATCACACTGTGATTTTAAACAAGTCAATTCAATGTGCCTTAGTCTTTCATTTACAAAATGGGAATAATATATTGCAAGGATAAATAAGATGGCAAATTAGACACAGAGTAGGTTCTCAATAAACGCTTCTCACCAACTATGGGAAAGCACTGAACTTCTTAGGGGGAAGTAATACATAAAACCATATTTTTACATTTTTTAAATACCTATTTTGTGCTTAGAGAAATATGGCAGTTCAAAACTATTCTTCCGAGTGTGGCGTTGTAAAAGAAAATATTCTGAGGTCTTTATTTTTTGCCTTTATATACTTGATCCTTTTTTCAAATGGCCAAGTTTATAAAACATAAGAGTCATGCTGGCCTCTATGTATTTTTCAAATGGTACAATTCTCTCGGATTCGGATATAAAAACAGAGCGACTATATCTTTTATCAGTGAGATAAAAACAATTCTTTTTCCTTGAAAGGCTTCAGAATGAAAAATCCACATATCCCACTGTGAGATATCCTATCCTTTTCCCCCAGCCTCTGTCGAATTACTTTTTTGGGGGGTGGAGGTGGGGGCAGGAAGAGGGAGGAAAAAAGTGAGTTTTTATTTGGGGTGACTGCCTCAATGTCTTCAGCAACATAACATCTCTAAGGTAGGTACATACAAAGTATTCTGGAAGGAACCAAATTTTAATTTACTCTAGCAATGGTTTGACTGCTTTCTCTGAATCAGGATTAAGACAAGTTACAAGCAGTTATATATCAAAAGATTTGTTTCTTAAAAGCTGGAAACTTTCTGTTTCTAATTTATTTAAACACTTTTTCCTACACAATGATCCTGATCTGACATAATGTAAATACACTGAAGGATTTTGATGGTATTCTCTCAAACCAGAATGTGCTTTAAAATCCAAAAGAAATTCTCCAACCACTTGCTGCCAAACTGAGATGGCTGAAAGAGGGCTAAAAAAAGGTGTTTCTGAAACACAATCTATATTTTATAAACACAAATATTTTCTGCTACACCTTTGTAACCCGCTACATTTTTGGAAACGAAAGATTTAATTAAGCTTTAGCTTTCCTAATAACACAAAGAAAGATTCCTGCATCTACTGTCAGGGACTTACTTACTTTTACATAGACAAAGCATTTTTAAAACACTATGTGCCAAGCATTGTGTTAAAATTTTATTTTAAATAATTACAATTTTAAGTATGATTTGGAATTGTCAAAAATGTGCATTGGGATTGAGGCTTCTCTTCAAAAGAGATCAATTAGCCTATTTGGATTGTGTCATTTCAAAGCAGATCAATTTGCTAGTTTTATTCTTATCTGAATTAGTAACATCAAAGCTTTTTTAAAAAACACATTTTTACACTTAGATATTTGCCAGCTTTCAATACGTCAATCACTTTCATTTTCCTTTCCTGGCTATCTCCTGAGAAGTTTCATTTTTGCATCCTTCCACCTGAACTTCAATGAATAACTGAATTGCAAATACAGCAGAGAGACGCTACTAAAAGACTTCTGCTTTTTTTTTTAATTTTGAAAAGCTCTGAAATTTCTTCCATTAATAATCGAATACGATGAGAAGCTGTCTCCAGATATAAAAACCCCCTGGAAAATGCCCTTTCCAAACCTTAAAAGGCTTGCGATAGAACGGCTCATGCCACATTACACACAGCGACAGAATAACATCACCAAGTGTCAGAGCGAACCAATGTTTCAGGATTTCCAAAGCTGAGCCTGAGGACGGAGGTTACACTCTGGTGAAACGAATCCTACAGAGAAAGACCAAGACAAGGGAGGGGAGGTGGGGGGCGTCTACTACCCACAAAGTTTGACCATTCGCACTGACCCCATCCACACCGGACCGACTGCCGGGAAGAAGGGGGGGAAAGGAGGCAACTTTCTCGCTTTTTTTCTTCTCCTGCTCGTCTCCGGCTGTGGCCACCCCCGCCACATTTCGGGGATACGGGATCCTCGGTGATTCCGCCTCCTCCCCCGGAGTACCCCCCAGCCCCCCCTCCAATCCGAAGCAGGGTCCCCCCCGCCCCAGTCCCCACCGGGGTCTCGGCGCCCGCCTCTCTCGCCCCGGTCCGGGGAGGCACGTTCCGAGGTGCACAAGGGAAGCGCCTGCAAGCCGCCGGGACCGAGCGGCTGCCCCGGGAGCCGGCCCCCGGACCGAGGAGGCGCGGGGCGCCCTGCAACCGCTCCGGCAGTGCCCCGGTAGATCGACCGATAGGTCGACCCGCGCGGGCTCCGCGGGGAGCGCACCCTTGGGCTGCGCCGCCTGTTTGCCCGGCCCCCCCTCCGAGCCCCCCTCCGGGGGCGCGCTCTCGGGGGGCTCCCGGAGGAGGGTCCGCAGCCCCCGCGCCCGCACAGCAGCCCGCCGCGGCGAACCGGGGCTCGGCACGGACGCCCTGCCGGGGGCTCGCGGCGCTCCAGACTGAGGGCGCGCCCCCGGCTGCCCCCCCCCGGCCCCCCCGGCTGCCCCCCTGCCTGCCTACCTGTGGCGGGGCTCGCGCGGCGGCTCCTCATGCCGGGCTCGCGCTGCGCTGCTGCCGCCCCTCGGCCGCCGCCGTGCCCGCCGCCGCCGCCCCGGCCCCCGCGCCCGCTGTCCCCGCGGTCCCCGCTGGTCCCCGCCGCCGCCGCCGCCGCCGCCGCCGCTGCCGCTGGAGGCCCGGACGCGACGAGCTCAGGACGCCGCTGCCGCCATGGCCGTCGTCGCGCCGCGAACTGCATTGTGGGGGGGAGGGCCGGCGGAGGAGGTGAGCGGGGAGGGGGCGGGGCCGTCGGGGGCGGGGCCGTCGGGGGGCGGGGCCCGGCAGGGGCGGCCCGAGGGCCGGGGCCCGGCGCCAGGGCGCCCCCCAGGGAGGGGGAGGGGGAGGGGAGGGGAGCGGGCCGGAGACCCGGGGGCCGCGGATCGGCTGCAGGGGCCACCCCCTCCTTCCCCATCCCCGAGCCTGGGAAACGGGCGCGAGCCCTTCTCCTCACCGGGGAACGCCCCCCCCCCGCCAGGACCAGAGAAGGGGCGCGAGCCTCCCCATCCCTGGGACCGGAGATCGAGAGCGAGCCCCCCCACCCCCCTCCCTGGGCGCGAGGACCCTGTCCGCCCCAGGAGAGAGAGCAGGCGGAAGAACCGCCCCCCCCAATAGAGAGTGGGCGCAAAGACCCCGGCAGGGCAGAGACTAGGGAACAGGTGCCAGGACCTCCCCTCACACCCCACACCCCTCCCCAGGAATGGGGAGTGGGCTCACGGATGCACCCCTAGGAATGAGGAGTGGGCTCACGCGAAAGGACCTCCTCCATCTCCCCCGCCATCTCGGCAATTTGCCGGGCGGAGGGGAGCTCAGCCCATCTGCCCAGAGACCCGCGGGGGGCGCCCCACTGGCAGCGCTGGGGCCCCCTCCCCACCAACCCGGGAGGAGGGGGCTCGATGCCAGGACACCTGTTAGGCCTCTTCGCTGTCGGGGTAGTGGGGCTGGAGGGTGCTTGAAGGGCAGGGCTGGTGGGGGAGAGGGGGGTCGGATGGACCCCGCGGAGGGGAGGGGGATTGAGGGATGAGGATACCGACTAACCCGCAGTGGGCGAGAGCTCCAGCCTCAAGAAAGGGACAGGACAGGTGCGCGGGGGCGGGGGTGCGGGGGTAAGGGTAGTGAGGGGGCCGGAGCGCCCACCCCAGCCTGGGGCTGAGCAGGGATGGGGGGGGCGTCCCAACGCTCCTGCTTCTCTCTCGCCCTGCTCCCGCAGCCTGCCTGTCTCTAGACCTAGAGACAGTCAGGGAGTTGTGCAGTCACCCGCCTCCCCATCCACCTACCGAACGAGCCGAGCCGGGACTCGGAAGCTCGGGCTCCGGCTCGGGCTTGGGACTCGGAATCCAGCCCCCTCCTACGGCCAATGCCGCTGCACCAGCCTGTCTTATACCCCGGCCCCAAGCGCTTGGGGGCCACTCTCGAAAGCCGGAGTCAGGAGACAGAGACTCCGAAGCAAAGATACATTCTTAGAATTGACGTCTACACGGTACCTTACACGTAAATGAGGAAACCAAGATACAGAGTAGGTGTGTCGGGATTCCAACTCGAATTCTGTGACTCCAAGTTCAGTGGGCTCCTTCCACTCCGCCACCATGAAAGCTAAAAGGCGTATGAGAGAGCGTCACCTGCAACCCATAGCCTTGGAGGAGACTTAAAAAGCCGGGAACTTGAGGTCAAAACCTAGCTCTTAGCCACTGGCCACACTCTGGGCAAGAAGACTTTGAGTCATACAATTAATCCTTGATTTCTGCTCAGCTGGATGTAAACATCCCCATAGGAGAAGCTAGGGTTGGTTTACCAATCTCTCTACTGTAGTTGGTCCAGGGAAGAAATAAACCTCATCCTAGCTACCCAAATCTCTTTTTCGCTATTTGCCAACACAGGCTCTTTGGTCTTTTTCATTTTCTCTTTGCATCAGCTCTGCCAGACATTGTAACCTCCTAAAAGGTAGGAAGGGTCTGACGTTTCTTCATTTCCAAAAAATCTTAAGCTTTTTTCCCCCACAGTGCCCTGAGCTAAAATGCTTAATAAATGTGTTAATAATGATGACACACTCTTAGAGTAGTTCAGCTGGTTTTTCAGTGTCCTAGAAGGAAATGACCAGATCCCCTTCTGCCAAGGAAGGTACCTGGTCTTAGTGGCTATGAGCCAAAATGACCCAGGTTCAAGTCCTATCTCTGACACATATGACCGTGTGTGTGTATGGGTCTCTCTGACTCTTCCAGCACTGGAAGTGCTTTGTCTTGGAGGTCCTCATGTCAATGAAGTCACAGGTTTGGAGTCAAAGGATCTGGGTTTGAATATAGGTTTGGGGATTTATAGATGTGTGACCTGGGCCATAGAATTTCATCTCTCTAGGCATCATTTTCCTCATTCTTGGACTACATGGCCTCTAGCTCCAAACCTATGCTCCTTTGTCCAATGCCTGCCACATAGTAGGCGCTTAAAAAATGCTTGTCTCGTGGCCTTCCTGCCAAATGGCCTTTCTTCCACCTTTCCAAATCTATGCTTAGCTTCAGTGTTAAATCCTGTCCTGTCCTGTCCTGTCTTGTCTAGGAAGCTTTGGTCACTCCATTCATCTTTAATATACATATACATATACATATACATATACATATACATATACATATACATATACATATACATATACATATACATATACATATACATATACATATACATATACATATACATATACATATACATATACATATACATATACATATACATATACATATATATTTGGTAATAAGATATATATATATATATATATATGTATTTGGTAATAAGATATACCTTATCAATGACCAAGCCCAGTTCCTTTAAATGACCCAGAAGGAAACAGAACCACCAAGAAAGGAAGAATAGAATATCTGTTTCTTGTTGGCATGGGTTTGGGCAGTTTCCAGCCTCAGCACCATTCTTTGCACTTAGTAGGTGCTCAATATGTACTTGTTAGATTGAATGGAAATGAATCCACATGGCTGGCGAGTGTGAATTAGTGACAGCCAGACTAATCATTCCATTTCAGAAAACATTGGGAACCCTTTCAGAACTTCTTCAGGATTTAGAGTCCTATACCACACAATTCAGCACTTAATTATATTTTGCCTTGCATTGTTCAGATGTTGTTTCATGTGTGTTCATGCCTTGTTTTTTCTGTCAAAGCTTAGGTTTCCACACCCTTTGAACTGACCCCCTGAGGATTGAATTGGACAACAAAGGCCTCAAAGGTGGAAGGGGGCACACCCTGGGGAACTAGTGAACCCCTCATCTGGCTCCAAGATGTCCCTCTTCCTCCTGAGTCTCCTGTCCTTTTGAGGCTGGGAGGCTCAAGATGCTACCCTATTGTGCAGATTAGATTGGAAGGGACCAGTTGGCCAGGATTTAAACACCCTGTAAAACAGCATCACCATTCAGTTTGAATTCAACAAGCATTTATTAAGTGCTTACTGGGTGGCAGGCACTGGACAAAGCAGCATAGGTTTGGAGCTAGAGGCCATCTAGTCCAAAAAGAGGAAAATGATGCCTAGAGAGATGAAATTATGTGGCCCAGGTCACACATCTATAAATCCCCAAACCCAGGTTCAAATACAAATCGTTTGACTCCAAACTTGTGTTGTTTCCACAGTATGATGGTATATACATGCTAGTATAGTTCAAGGTCATCTGAAGAGGGACAGGTAACTAACAAGTGGGAGAGGGGGATCCAGGGAAGAGAAGGTGATACTGAGCTGAGTACTAGAGGCAGGAAGTGGTGGATTCTGGGAGGCAGAGATGGAGGGGAGTGCAGTCCAGGCAGGCAGGACTGCTTGTACAAGTGCACAGAGGTGGGAGACATAAAACCAGTGTGGGGGGCGAGGGATGACTAGTAATTGAGTTAGGCAAGAATGACGTATGAGAAGAGGAGTACCTTATATTCCGGAGGGTTACCATTTGTTCTGCTGGTATCCTCACCTTGGCAAGGGCAGCTGTGAGAGCGTGTTAGATGGGTATCTGTGGCAAACCTGGTCAGACATGGGCAGCAAGTTCCATAGGAGAGGTAGGCAGAGAGCCACAACAATATCACAGGGTCATGTGAATATCTTTGTATTTACCTATTTGTGTACTCCATCCCCAGCTACCACTCCCCCCCCCCAAGCAGGAGTCTTCTCCTATTAGTCTGCCAATAAGTATTTATTAAGCCAGTGCCAGGCATTGCACCAAGTAGTGGGGTTACAAAGAAAGGTGAAAGAAAGTTCCTACCTAGAGGATCTCAGAATTGAATCAGGAAGACCACAAGAAATCAAATATGTACAAACAGGTCAGGTTCAAGAGAAACCGGAAATAGTCACTAGAGGCAAAGCACCAGAATTTAGACAGACTAGGAAAAGCTTCCTATAAAAAATAGTGGGATTTTAGCCGGAACTTGAAGGAGGCCAGGAGGTGGAGGTGAGGAGAGAGAGAATTCCATGCACAGGGGACCACCAGGGAAAATCCCTGCAGCTGAGAGGTGAAAGGCCTTGTTCCAGGAACTGCTAGCAGGCCAGTGTTCTCCAGGAGCAGTATAAGGTGTAATAGGAAGGCTGGAAAGGTAGGATGGAGGCTAGGTTTTTGAAGGGCTTTGAATGCCAAACAAAAGATTTTGTGTTTGATCCTGGAGGAATTAGGGAGTCCCTGAAGTTTATTGAGTGAGGAAGATTTTTTTGAGTAAAGTAAGCACTTGTTTAAGGTGACCCTTTATTGAATCAATTCAACTCTATGCTGTCCTCTTCGCTCGAGTTCTTTATCGTCTTGACAATTGGACCCTGCCAAGCCTTAGGCTTGGATCCACCTCCTTCACTTCTACCTTCTGTGCTGGAGAAAATTGTGCAACTGCTCTGACTGCATCCACTACAGATTTATTCTACGTAACCTCAACTGGGCCCACAAAGCAATCTTCCTCTGCCTCCCTTATCAACTCACTATCCCCACTCTCCACAATGGCTCTTCCAAACTTTGTCCTTCCTTCTCAAATGTCCCATGACTCCTTCTCTCCCAGCCATCTCAGCTAAAAACCTTGCCTTCTAATTTTATAGAAAAA